ATTGGAATATGGGGTCTTCTTGATTGCCTTTTAGGAAATGCTGGTCCATTTGCTTCAGGGGATTGGATACTTCCTGATCTTACCCTTCAGGGGTCGATCAAGTTGAACAGCCACTTGCATACGTTTCCTAATACATACTACTTCAGCTATGCTACCAAGCGTACCGCGAAAGTCATGGGTCTAACAGTCCCTTCTGGCATACTTGGGATACATCCTCTGCTGTTCATCAGAGTCCTGCAAATGAGCCTATGGCGGCATCCTCCAGATGTCCCTCCCCCATATAAAGGATATAGGTGTGTCTTTTGTTTTCTCCTTATTAGTCCATCTCCCATTTACCTGGATATTGATTCAAATATATTGGCAGTTACAATGTAGCAAAAATTTCCAGCAAGGTATCTACTGCAAGTAATAGCCTGTTAGGGCAAGTTTCTAGGAAAAAATAAACTCTTTTGAGTAGTAGCAGATGCTGAATTTCAGTAGATGAAAATAGTAGCTTTTCCCCAAAAGCACTTTTGGAATCTTGGCCAAGCATAAATTGCTGCTCTAATATTGGCAAAATTTCTGATCAAATTGATTAGCCAAACACAAATTGCTATTTTTCAAAAGTACTTTTGATTAAAAGAACACTTCTCAAAATAAGCAGATTTCGGAAGCTTGGCCAAACAAACTATAAGTGTTGTTGCTATGCCACTTATTCTCTGTTTTGAGGTTTTTGCTCTTTGTGCAACAGTGTTTTGTATTGTCCGGACTAGGCTATGAAACTTGGCTATAGGCTCCATGAAATTGATGCATGCAAAAATTCCTTGGATTTACATTCATGAGTAATATGCATTGCACTAACGCCAGTTTCAAATTAAGTATTTAGAAAACCACTTTGAGTGGGTTTCTTATCCTCCCAGCTTTAGTTTCACCTCAAAGCTTTGTATAGCAATTTCGTAGTTGAACTATTTGACTCCATAGCACAATCATCTTATGAGGAGTTTATATTATCTCAGAAAGATTCAAAACCACCAAACCAATAGATTTATCCTCCTAGTTACTTCTTAAAGCAACTATCATGTATCCAAACGGATTGGAACTGCTAATTAACAGTTATACAAATCATACATAATTTCATCATCTTACATCTTTCTGTACATCTATTCTTGCAGGGATGAGGATTGGTGGGGCAATGATGGTGCACTCAACACTATATCTATGACACACCCTCGCTTCCCAGTTGAGCACCCAAGTCAACTGGTTGTTAAAGATTCTGATTGCCAGCCTTTGCGACCTGGCATTTGGTAGGCTACCGGTCTTAAGCTTCTGCTATTATATTTCTTTTGCCAAGTTGCCATTCTGGTATTTAACTTCTTTAATTTCTATTATTAGTAAAGCAGTTTTTACCAACACTTCCATTATACTTATTTTCTCATTCCTGTCTGGTTTAGAGGTTTTCATAGAATTGAACTCTTTTCTCATAAAGAACCACCGCTTATTATTGGTCATGGCTTCTTAGTTGTAAGTACTAAGAAGTTTCTAAACCAAAGGAGTGTCATCTTCTCTATTTTTTTTGGTTATCATTAGGATTTGATAGTAATTTGATCATTCTGAAGCAAGTCCAATTTACAAACCAGTATTTTCGTATGTCATTGTTTAAGGGGTTGTTATATTCCCTTATTTTGATTGATAGATTTGACTGGACATCCATATCTCTTTGTCCGGTTGAAGTGGATGTGTTAAAAATTGTTGACAAGGTGGCTAGAAGTTGCAACATCAAGCCTTTTCTTGTTAGAGGAACTTTAAAAAAAAATCTAGCAGGGGTGTGCGATTAAAGAATTGCTCAGATGGTCTTCTTTTTCATCTCCCAAAAAGATGAATCCTCTGTATTTGCTTTTCGCTTCTTGTAATTGGACTTCTGCACCTCTTGTTGCTCTATTATCTCAATTTCTCTGTTATGATTCCCATTTTACTCCCTTAAACATAATATATTGGAAATTATGGCTTCTATGTTCTTAGTATTTATGCCTATTCACTTTGATATATGGAAAATGTTTGACTTTTAAAATTTGCAACTATTGGAAATACTGCATATTTGTCTGACACATATCGGATACTCGAGATTGCTATAGAGTGAGATTGGAATTCTATGTGTAGTTGTTATTTGAATAAAACAACGGTATTTCAGGGCTGCTTTAGTATTGATATTTCTTTTTGTTTTTCTGGCATCAGGTACTATAAGATTGTTGAAGGTGATCACATTCTTTTCATTGTGAATCGCGAACGAGCTGGAGTTCAATTTGATTTGATCTATGACAGCATATTTGAGCGCTGCAGGAAGCACGTTTTCAGAAAAAATCCGACGATGCCAGACCATATAATTTCATAGTTAACATTATGTTGCCCTCACCGTTGCGCTACAAGCAATAAAGAGAATAGAGGTTAAAGAGAAGGAAAACTGCGACGACATCACCTACTCTTCTGCTTTCTTGTTTTTCTTTTCTTTTTCTTCAGATAAAAAATTATTTTTCCCTTGAAATGTAAATGTGAATAGATCAGAATCCCATTCTTCTTCTACTGTATGTAATGATTACCACCACTCTAGTGTGTAGGCTTTCAGAGGAAAAATGTGAATTAAGGAGACATGGTACACTGGTCCCTTGTAATATCAAAAACATGATAGACTTTCATAGAATATAGTAGAGGTTTCTGCTTTAACTATTTGATGATCTGCAATATCTCAAACCTTCATATATTTGACAGATGCAATCCACTTCTGCATTACGATTTGGAATTTTAGTAAAAACTGATTGTTATGCACTTAAGTTGTTATTGTGTTGCTTCTGAAGCTTGCTGAACTCAAGATTTGGCCGCTACACAGCGAGCTCTCTGTGGAACTGGTATTTGTTATTAGTTGAAGACTTTCAATCTTCTTCTGTTTTTCCTGAGTAGAAGCATTAAGGGTTGAATGGAGCAATATGGACACGGAGGATTCATATAGTTGATTCCAACTTGGGTGAAGACGTTGTTATTGTTGTTGTACAAGCAACATGGGTTCCAGAGAGGGGAAGGGGATGGAGAAAAAGAGCTTCAGTTCTTTTGGGGTTGGTGGGGAGTACTCTCTCTATGTTCTTTTTTGGATAGCGGAATTTTTTTTTATCTCCGTCCAGTAATGTAGGTTAATTGATGAAACCTCATTAAATTGTTATGCCTCCTTTGCTACATTTATATTTTGTGGTCTAGTTTACTGTCATTCACGGGGTGCATTGTTATCTTCCAAATGACATGGTTATTTTGATTCTAACCGGGGNGAGCTGGAGTCATTGGAGCCTTGATTATTTTAGTGCAATGCAAGTGAAGTTAGCCAGTTGCCTGTTTCCAATCTTCCAATGCTGATGCATAAAACTCGGGCTTTGTACAGAAAACTTGATAAGAAAGAAATACTGAAAGGAAACAGAGAGACAATCTGTGTATTTGATGTTGTTTAGTAAGTCTTGCCAAAGAAAATAACTATATTAGCTCTCTTGCTTAGAATTGCATAAACTTGTGCAGATGGAGACCTTATGTTTTGCCTAGAGTTGTGGCAGAGCATTGCTTTAGCCCTGGCCTTTACACATGCATTATCATGGGCAGCACATGTATCATCATTCAATTGCACATGCTATTCTTTTTTTTGCAGAATCAAACCATCCGACCACAACTTACTATGAAAGTCTGATACAAATATTTTATACTTTTTTGCAGTTATTGAATTTGAGGGGAGCCTTAGCACAACAGTAGCGCTGCTTTCTTGGTAACTAGTAGGTCACTCGCTTGAGACGTAGAAATAACTTCATGTGCATAAATGCAAGAGAAACATTGCATACAGTATAAACGATCGTTCTCTCCTCTTACTGCTCTATTTGTAGAGAACTTGGTACACTGAGTAGGCCTTTTTTGGGATGTATATGAGTTTTTTTTTTTTGAAGATGAAAATGATGATGGCCTAACAGTCAATAAAGTTGATGAAAAACATCGGAAATAGGATAACAATTTTAGCAATGACAAAAAAACATTTCCTACCATCTGCTTAAAGCATGGTCAGCAAAGTTACTTAGTGTATGTGCTATTAATTGGAACGTAGCAGACAACTGATAAAATAATTGAGGTTCGTGTAAGTTACTCGAACACCAGGCTAATTAAAAAAAAAAATGGAGGACCATTTTGTGATCTAAATTTATAGTGAGTTTTCCAACATACACAATTAAAGCGCCGACCAAGAGGCAGCAACATAACGACCCAACATCCAAACAGATACCAAAAAAGATTCCTAAAGAGAGAACTCACTTAAGTTTCATCATATTTTATAGAGTTGGGTTCTCTTTGATACCAACAGTCAAACTTACATCACATGCACTTCTTCTAATTCAATGAAAACACTTTAAGAGACAAAAAAAATAAAAAGAACTGACCATATTATTTTGTTTTTCATTTTTCTAATTTACCGTTGTCTCTTCAATTTTTTCCCCTTTATGTTTTGCTTCTATTATAAAAAATACAAGTTAGTTGTTGACTTAGTAGTATCTTTGATCAATCTGGATAAACACAAAAAATTTCCCTTAAATCAATCTGGATCAACACAAAAAAGTTCCCATATGTGTCAAAAATACAATTTCCTTTGTTTAGATCAAGAGATTTAATCTCCTTACTATACGGACAAAATTGCAAGACTCTATCTTATCTGCTTTCAATTGTTTTTTACCATTCAAAGTATTCTCCCGAAACAGCTAAAATGGGAAAATCAAGATTAGAAAAGACATAATTACATTTATTAAAAGAATCCATTTAAGATTCTGCCTATTAATTAAAAGGCTTTTTGTGGAGATTAGAAAAGACAACTGCAATTATTAAGAGAATCCATTTAAAATTCTATCTATTAATTAAGAGACTTTTTTGCATTAGCCTTTGCCTCCTCTCCTATATATAGTGCAGCATGCAAGACATGGAGTACTACAAAAATCTGTCTTCTCCAATTATAAACATATCCTAAATACCAATAGCTTATTTTTTGATTGATCAAAGGTTTTAGAAAAAAGAAAAGAAAAGAAGATGTGTGGCACAGAGGCTTGTCTTATAAAGAGTTCTCCAGTCCCTTGTGCAATTCCTGAAACAAGAGAAAATGTCACTCTCATCAACTGGGATACTCTTATCAATCTTGATCAGTAAGTCTTCTTTCCCCAATTCATTATTGTTTGAATGTCCCACCCCATTCTCCTTATTTTATGTTGTTCACGCTCCAAATATTCAGCTTAAATATGGGGTGTCACGCATTTGCACAAATGGCCTTGTTTCAGGCTATTTTTAAATTTAGTCTCCCGTTAGCCGAGTGTGCTAAATTAGTCTGAAAAAGAAAGAAAGAAAGAAAGATATCCAACTACTTCTTAAGGAGAAATTTAGCCCTCTGGACTAACGAGGAAAAGAATTTAAAGAGTGGCCTCAGAAAAGACCATAATTTGAGGTGCAAGTAATCCGTTATAATAATATCCTAGTAGAGGAAATGAACCGTTGTTACCTTATATCGTCTCATGTGATAATACTCACCTCATAAACTAGCTTTTGGGATTGAGTTGTGCCCAAATTTCATTTTCTTTACAGATGTGTATCCAGAAATACTGAAATCCTCAAATTCTCACCTTGTTTGTTGGAATACTAATTTGGAATTTTATTTCTTGTGTATAGTGGTGATCCAGTAATGTATGAATCATACTGGCGAAAGATGGGCAACAGGTGTGACATTACATTCAGCGGTTACCAGTCATTGAGTTATTTTGCTAATGCCAAGAACTTGTGTTGGTTCCTTGAGCCAAAACTAGAAGAAGAGATAAAGAGGCTGCACAATGTGGTTGGAAATGCAGTTGTGGATGATCATTGTATCATCGTTGGGACAGGATCAAGCCAGCTTATTCAGGCTGCACTCTATGCTCTTTCTCCTACACATGAACCTGAACCAATCAGTGTTGTTTCAGCTGCTCCTTTCTATTCGGTACGGCTATTTAGTGATTTACAAGTACCCTCACTGCACACTTTTTCTTAGGGGTGTACAAAGGAAACCGACAAACCGCACCAACCCGATAATCCGAGTCAAACCGAGAAAAAAAATCCGACTATGAGTTGGTTTGATTTGGTTTGGTGTTGAAAAAAAAATCCGACCATAATTGGTTTGGTTGGGTTTAAACTAAAGAAAGTCAATCCGAAACCAAACCAATTTGACATTATATATATGGATATATTTAGTATATAAATATACTTATTGTGATGTAATTTATAAATATTTCTTAAAAGATTTCATAATTTTATTTTTTGAGGTATTATTTCAAGGTTGGACTTAGAACTTTTGAATATTCCAATAAGCTTTATAGCCATTAACATTAGTAAATTAAATAGTGCTAACAAAAGTCCAAACCAAAATCTAATCAATACTAATGCTAACAAAAGACATTTAATTCAATACTACGAACGGAAATGTATTGAATATCTACTTTTTGTTTTGCAATAATTTAGATAAAAATGCATAACCTATTTTTATTTTTTCTTTAGCGTTTAGTCGTGTATTTAATACTCAATTATTAGTCTACTTATTTTAGCATGACTTAGTACTCTTAGACTATGTTTATTTTTATTATGGCTTTTAATTAGCAATATTTATATTACATAATTTTATTGTCTTTTATTGTTGAATATTTTAGGATAATGCCATGACACATCTCATATTTTGTATTATTTTCTTGGAAAATACTTTATATAGTTGTATCTTACTAGGACTAAAGAAATATTTTGAGCATAATTTATATGTTTTGTTCTACAAAGATTTTACCTGAAAAAAATCCGAATAACCCGAGAAAATCCGAGAAATACCAAGAGTAAAAAACCCGAGTTTTATTGATTTGGTTTGGTCTTTAGATTTAATAATCCGACACAATTGGTTTCGTTTGGTAATTATAAAATCCGAACCAACCCGACATATGTACACCCCTATTTTTTATATCTCTTTTTATTATTGGCTGGATGTTATCGTAAAAAGAAATAAATGGGATTACGTACCAAGAACATCGGTTTGTCATGTCAATCTTCTGTTCAGCTAATTGGACAATCATCTTCATCATGTAGTTTACTTATATCATTCTGTAGCGTAGCCACATATACTGAAAAGTGATCAGTTGAACCCTTCATCAGTGTACTTATAAAAAAGTATACTGTGTATATAGATCACATATATTACCTTTTATATATTTATATTAAGTCTTGAATATCCTTTAGTGATATTCTTGGCTTCGCCACGGTTATTTATCAATGTTTTGCCTCTTGATATCCCAAAATTTTCAGCCATATATTGATCTGGGTTCTCATCAAGGCTAATGATCCATTTTGACTTTGGATATTATTTTTACATGTCTAATGTAGAATCTTTAATTAACAAATTAAAAGTCAACGAAACAAGAAATTTAATAATAATGCTTCACTTATGTACCCCTAACAAACCATGTCTGTCGCTGAGACCATGTTGATTGCTTATAATGTAGCTCTAACCAACATAGGAACATGGTCATGCAAAGATTTGCAAACATGTTTACTATATTAGTACTTGTTTTTTAATAACTAATCACATGGTTTTAGGTATAAGTAAGATCGATTATAACATGATACATAACAACAACAACCACCCAGTATAATCCCACTAGTGGGGTCTGGGGAGGGTAGTGTGTACGCAGACCTTACTCCTACCCTGGGGTAGAGAGGCTGTTTCCAAATAGACCCTCGGCATCCTTCTCTCCAAGAACTCCCCACCTTGCTCTTGGGGTGACTCGAACTCACAACCTCTTAGTTGAGAGTGGGGGTTGTTTACCATCAGAGCAACCCCTCTTGTCGATACATGATACATACTCCATTCGTTATCATAATAAATCTTTAACACATGTGATTAATCTTTTTAAAAGTGAGGTTTTCTTGATTACTAATAATTTTCTTGTTGGTATTGGCTTGCAGTCATATCCAGAAGTGACTGATTTTGTGCGTTCAGGGCTGTACAAATGGGCAGGAGATGCAAGAAATTTTGAGAAAGATGGACCATATATTGAGTTCATAACATCTCCAAATAACCCAGATGGGGTTATTAGAGAGCCTGTAGTTAATGGAGCTCAAGGGATATTAATCCATGATTTAGCTTATTACTGGCCACAGTACACTGCTATTACCTCTCCTGCCAAATATGATGTTATGCTCTTTACAGTTTCCAAATGCACTGGCCATGCTGGATCCAGAATTGGGTATGTTTTTTAAAATTGCAATTGAGGTGATAACCAAATTAAAGAGAACTACAAAATCAATACACGTTTGGTAAAGTACTAAAAGTGCTTATATGCCAAAATCAGCTAAAAACCCATGAGTATTTAAAGTACTTTTACTTCGAGCAAAATTTTTATTACTACTATTTTATTCCTAATATCATATGAAAATTTTCGAAATAGTCGGTGTTCTTATAAAGATATTTCTAATTTATATATCGGATGTAAATAACTTTAAGGATGTTTTTGTTATTTTTTAATAAGAAAAAGTATTTATCAACTATTTTTTGGTAACACGTCAACTACTATCAGTTTCAGCACTTCCGATCCTTTTCAAACTCACAACTGCTTAATTGTAATAATCAGTTTTCAAGCATAGAAGAGTGCTTTTCAACAATTATCAATGTTTATCAGCTACTCCCTTCGTTCACTTTTACTTGGTATGTATACTAAAAATATATTTTCATTTTTACTTGTCACTTTATGCATATTAAGAGAAGACAATTTTTTTTTTCCTGTTATATATACCCACATTATTTATTGTTTATTTCGAATCATTTTCTCAAATCCAATAAAATTATACATCAATTAATATGGGTATGTGATTAATATGGGTATGATAGTAAATTATGCACTTTATTTATGATTTCTTAAGGGGCGTGAAAAGTCAAAACGTACCAAGTGAAAGTGAATGAAGGGATTACTTTGGATCAGTCACCGGCTCTAAAACACTTGGATCGGAGTTGGATATAAAATTTTAAATTCTACAAATTTCAATGTATCACTAACATGTTCTCATTTTATTTGATTTGCAGTTGGGCTCTTGTTAGGGACAAAGAGGTGGCAAGGAAGATGACAAAGTTCATGGAGATTAGCACAATAGGGGTATCAAAGGAAGCTCAATTGAGAGCTGCAAAGATTCTTGGAGTGATTTCTGATAGCTGTTTGGATTCCACGTTGGAAAACTTCTTTGAATATAGTCAATCTCACATGACCAAAAGATGGCAAAAATTAAGAGAAGTTGTTAAGGGCAGTGACCTTTTCACTCTCCAGAAATATCCACTTCAGTATTGCCACTTCACAAGAGACTTCTATGAATCACACCCTGGTAATGTCAAAAATATTTAAGTTATATATATTAATAGCACCAAAAAAAAAATATTATCTGAAGAGAGGAGCCTTGGTGTAGCTGGTAAAATTGTTGTCGTATGACCAGGAGGTCACAGGTTCGAGTTGTGGAAACAATCTCTTGCAAAAATACAGGGTAACGCTGCGTACGATAGACCCTTGTGGTCCGGCTCTTCCCCGGATCCCGCGTATAACGGGAGCTTAGTGAACCAGGCTGCCCTTTTACTGTAATTTTATCAATTTAGCATGTTTATTACCCTATTTTCGAAATTACCATATCATACTTGATTTGGAAGGTTACATGTTATTGTTGGCCAACTTAACTTATAATATAAAAGATTATCACGATTATTGTACATAACATAAATTCATGTAAAAAATAAATATAAAATATTTTGGATTGCAGGCATTAAAATGGCCATTTTCAATTTGAGACTTATATTGGATTATTGTCTTTTTTTTGAAACAGCTTTTGCATGGCTAATGTGCAAAGGAAGTGAAGATGACCTAGAGAAAATTCTTAAAGGACACAATATTCAAACAAGGAGTGGAAAAAAATTTGGGAGTGATCCAAAATGTGTTAGGATAAGTATGCTGAGTAGGGATGAAGACTTCAACATTTTTTTGCAGAGGCTTATGTCTATTCAAGGACTTACAAATGGAAATTAAGACTTCCTATATATGTCTATATATGAAAATTTAGCTGCTTTTATATATCAGTTTTTAGCATATTATATTCTAACTACCAGTTCGTGATAGTTAGACTTTATATTGTATTTCCTTTTTACAGCAATGAAACTTGGATATTATTAAAGAGTAGAACTCTTTCCTGAATGTTTATACTAAAGGATCATTAAAAAAATCATCGGCCAGATTTACTATTTGCTTTCTTAGTCGATATATATAGATTATACATATATTATATATTCATCGATTATTTTTAGTTTAAATGGTTGAATGGACGACTATAAAGATTAATTCTTATATTAAAAGAATGGTGATTAATGCCAAAAGAGTTGTCAAAAGAGAAAAAATAAAGAGCGAATGTGAAAAAAATTTCCAAACAATCACCTTGGTGGAGGAAATAAAATGTACAATTAAGACATAGTATTATAAAAGCCAGCTTTTGTTAGTGGGCCATGCTTACTACTATATTCTGTTGATCATTGAATCACATGATATCAGTCATCATGAATTGTAGTGAATGTTTAAACTTTCTTAATGTAATGATTAACAAGACTATGCATAGGTAATTGATTATAAACCTACCTCTACTCCAGAAAGAAACACGTAAAGTATCTTTCCCACATATCGATAATGTAGATGGAGAGACAGTATAATACCAGTTGATATGATAGGTTAGTATTAAACTAGTACAAGAAATGTTCGTTGTAATTACTAGTCCAATTGGCATATGTGAGTATTCCTCCTACTTCTTTAATTTTGTCCATAAAAAGTGAGGAGAGACTCATTAAGATGATGATGGTGTAGTGTGATCGTGTCTATGAAGATAGAGATACTTCACAGATTCTTGCTACGATAAAGTAAAGGCAGGTCCCCCTGACTTTTTGGGAAGATTTTCGATTTGAACATTTCGCATAGGGCTCGTTTGGAAAGTCACGTATTGTAATTGAATTTGAATGTAATTGAGTATAACTATAGAGTTTGACATGTTTGTCTAATTAAGTAATTAATTAATCAACATAAAATTGGGTGTAATTGAAAGGAATCAAACATTAGAGGTAATTATGAATTTGGTAGATTGATAAATAGTATTTATGTTTTATTTAATATGATCTAGTAATATTTATAAAATAAGTTAGTGGTGTAGCAGTTTTATCTCGTAGGAGCAAAAGATATTAAACTTAGAGCATATTTGGCCAAGCTATCAAAAATTACTTATTTTAAAAATATTTTTTTTCAAAAGTATTTTTTAAAAAGTACTTTTGGAGAGTAGCAGTTTGTGTTTGATAATTCATTCGATAAGCACTTTTTGCAATATTTAATAAGCAAATTATGTTTAGTAAATCTTCCAAAAAGTATTTTTGAGTGTCAAATTATGAAAATAAACAATAACAAGGTCTGGTACGATTAGTATTATTAAAGAAAGAAATAAATTTAAATAGTTATTATAAAGGAATTTAATTAATTTTTAATTTTCTTTTAATATAAAATATAAAACATGAAGTAGAAATATATATTAAAGGTTTTAATCAATATAAAATATAGTTATATCAAAGAAGAGATCTATTTATCACAGTTGTAGAGACTATTTCAAAGAGGAATAGGAGAAGAAAAATAAATAACAGTGGAAATAAAAAATAAAAGAAAGGGGCAGTAGAAATAAATAAAAGAAAATGGGAAGGGTATATTAATGAGGGATAGTTTGAAAATATAAATTTATGATAAGGATATTTTTGTCTTGAAAAAATTAATTTTCTGCTTCTGCTTGTTGGAAGAAGCTAGAATTTGTAACTTCTTCCCTAGAGTATGTGAATACCTGATTTTTGCATGCTTTTAATTCTCCCACCAAAAAACTAACTTTTGGATGGTTTTAGCTGTTTTTGTTAATTTTCTTTGAATTTATTTGTACATTTATATGTGAATTCCTTAATTAAGAAGTACCAAAAATATGTATATATTAGTCTGCATCTTTAATTTATATATACCAAAAAGATTTTCTTTCTACTTGCACATTTTCTTTAGGACTAAATAAGACTATAATTTTATTAGAGGGAAAAGGGATTGAGCTAGTGTATGTTAATTAAAATTGAGCTACATTGGCCTTGAGCCCATTTCTGCCATACCCAGTCCAACAAGTAGTCTGCCAAGACCTGGTCCAAAACGGCATAGTTCCATCATTAAACTACATCGTTTTATTAAGTGAAACCAAGATTCCATCTCAGCACCCATATTTATTTGATCCAACGACCCTTATCTATCTCCCACCCAATGTATATAAAGCCTAAAATCCCCAAATATTTGCCCCATTTCTCTTATTACTCTCCCCTTTTCTTCTTCTTCTTCTCTTTTCTCTTTCTCCTCTCTGCCAGCTCCGCCCGTCGCCTCCCAGCTCCGCCCGTCGCCTCCCAGCTCCGCCGCCAGAAATCGCCCACTGGCGGCGGTCGTCATCCAAATCACCCCAAAATCGCACCATACAATCACCTCAACCTCTTCTTTCCAAATCCCTAAAAACCCGCTCAGATTTCATAATTTTTAGATCTAGGAAACCCTAGTTGCCGTTTTTTTTTCAAATTCGTGAAGTTCTGGCCACTACCACCCTACAACAAATACATGAATGTATAGAGCTCCACGATACCTACACTTCTCCCCTAATTTCACCCATAAATGCCGCCGTCCATCGTCGCACGCCGCTTCACTACCGCCGCCGTTCCACCGCCGGTTGGTGGCCCCAACTCCTATAAAATTTATACCTTCCTCCTCCTCTTTTTCTCTTTTTTTCTTATCTCCAACCCAAAACCGCCATTGCCATAGAACCCAGCACCGCGTCTCTATTTCAGTCCACTTCTTGACTCAAAGACGACCGTTTCTTTTTCGCAAGAGGCCAAAACTCATTTGTTTTAGCGTTTGCCCGAAAGAAACGCGTGTTTCGGGGTCGGACAATCGCTCTTTGAAGGTTCCGATATCATCTCGTCACTCGATTTAGCCTCGAATGTCCATAGAATTAGGTAAACTAAACCCCTAATCTTTTCCCCATGTTTCTGATTTTTTTTGTTGTTCTTGTTGTTCCATACTATTTGATTATAGTTTTTATTATAGTATAAATTATTTGTTATTTCGTCTATGTTCGTAGTCATTTCGTGTAATTATTTTTATTAGTTTGATTAACAGTTATTTGTCTCTTGGTTATTAGGGCTATTTAGTAGTTAATGTGTTGAGTTTCTGTTGATTCTATATGTTGTTTAGTCATAATTATTTTAATGAAATAATTAGTTGGTATATGATATGTTAAGCTGATGGTTTCAATTAGTTAGTCTGGATAATATACTTATTTTGTTTGATTTTTAATTATTAGATTATGAGTGTCCCTTAGTTGATTTATAGTTCATATTTCTAAGTCTAGTTATGTGTTTTTCTGTCTTAGTTTGGTTTGAATCAATATGGTGATATTGATGTTGTTAAAATCTGAAGATTAAATGGGTTTAATCATGAGTTAGAGTACTAATAGCTTACTTTTTACTAGTAGGGTGGCTGCAATGACTCTTTGCTTCTGTTACAGCAGGTTTTCAGGCTGTCCTTTCACCTTTTGGACAACCTTTGAACAGTGTTTAGCACACAAAGTCAGTGCCTTTTTGGACAGATTTTTGGTGAGCCAAAATCTGCCCAAAAAGTGCCTTTCTTTGCCTACATAAGGGCGACCCTTTTCTCACTTTACATATACACTCTAACACACTTAGTCCTCATCTTTTACACTAAAGAAACCACATATCTTAAAAAATCAGTAGTTGTGCACATATGGCAAGCTGAAATTTCAGAGCTTTTGTGGGTATTGTTTGTGTGCAAAATTTTGGAAAGACAGAAAGATCTCTTAAGTAATTTCTGGGGTTAGTAGTTGCTAGTTCAAGTGCTTTCTTGCTAGGTTTTTGGGGGTATTCTTGAGTTCTGTTACTACTATTTTTACTATCCGTTTGGTACTGTTGCTGCTGCCGGGTTCTAGTGTATGCTCTACTTGTTAGTTCAACATCTTCAAAGATCATTTTTGCTGCTAAAATTTTGCAATTAGGTAACTCTTTCAACCTTTAGAGTAATTTTCTTTACAATAGACAATGAAGATATTGTTTTGAGATGTGTTTTGATCCTTACATTATTATAAGAAATGAGAAAATGTTCAACTGTGCATTCTCTGATTGGATCTGTTTGTTTTCGTATTTAGTTATTTTATGTACCTTAGTTGTTAATGTATAATTAATGTGTTAGTAAACAAGTAAAAATGGGAATTAAAAAGAGCTTCAGCTTTCTTGCTCTTTAATAGCTATATATTTTAATACATGCTTTTGTTAATATAGGAAATCTATATCAAAAATTAAGGAGCTTCACTTTGCACAGTTTGCACAGTGGTTCATTTTGCTTATCTTTTGAATGTGATTTGCAAGTAAATAAGTGAACTTTGGACATGTAATTGAAAAAAGGTTATTTGTGTTGAAGTTTATGCAATAGTTTATTCCTCTGTTTGGTTCATTTAGCTCTTCAAGTGTTAATATAATGTTTTCAGTGGTTTAATATCTTTCTTTTAACGAAGTTTCATATCTTGAAGTATGGAATTAAGTTGTTAAACTAGAAGAAGTCTTCTGGAAATATTTGTTGAAGAGTTATGGGTATATTCTTTCCCTTAATGGAAAGAAATAAAATAGTTAGGCTTAATAAATTAAGTCCAGGCCCAAGCATTCATGCTAGTTGGTCTGGCCCTTTTAATAACCATTCGGGCCATGAAATATTGGCCCCTCTTCCATAGCAAATCCCTGTTGGCCCGATGCTAAATAAATAAATGTAGCCGAATAACTCAAATTTATATTATTTCCTTGTAATTAAAATATTTTGACAACTTAATCACTTTAATAATTAGTTTAAACGCTAGGCAATTAGTAGGCGCGCTTTAACTCACGGAATCGCTTGCGTAGCATGATGTTTAATATTCAATAAATTAATTCAATAATCTCATACCATACCCATTAGTTTTAGTTAATTTTTAATTTATTTAATCCTTTGCTGAAATCGCAAATTCGCTTGTGTAGCGCGATAGTTGACTAGTAATTTTCAAAAATTAATTTTTTTAAATGTAGTAACTTCTCAAAAGTACTACAAATAATTGATTG